GTCTAAAGATATTGGAAGTGACGCCTTAGATTTGTCTTTTACAAGGGCGCTCACCGTATACCCGGCTCTCACGGTTCCGCAAGAAATAGCAGTGCTCAGGTTGTGCGTTAGAGAACTGTGTGTATCTATCTCTTCCAGGTTGAAATTCCAATTTTTAAAATTTTTTAAAGTATATTTTTTTAGGCTTTTTTTTTGAATCTGGACTAGTATTTAGGGTTAGGGTTTATAATAAAAGAGTATAAGTGGGTTTTGTTAGGGTTGTAAGAGTTTATATTTTTAAATTAAGGCCCTAGATTTCACGATGATCTGATTTCACTATAATCCGTGACATTATATATGTTTCTAATGATATTAACCAATTTTGCTAATAACTATTAATGTTTTTTTTTTTTTGAAGCATTTAGTTGTGTACTTAATAATAATATTTCAATTATTTTTGTAGCTCTTTTTTTTGTCGCTTGTTGATATTTATATTTTCACTATCTACTTCAGAGGTGATCTTAATTTTTTTACTACTTTCAAATTTATTATGAACTATTTCAGTTTTGCTTTTGTCAATTACTCTATTAGAATCATTTTTTTTATTTGTTTTAGCATTATTATTATTACTTTTTTCTTTAGTATTATTATTTATAGCTCTTTCTATAGTAGCTGTTCGTCGCCATATTTGATTATATTGTTTGATCTATTTGTCTATAGTGCTAATAGTAGGTACTTCATCAAATTCCAATTCTTCTTCCTGAACCATATCTTGAAGAGCAGATACTATTTGAGTTGCAGACATTCGATCTGTCTTTTTAATATTTCCAGCTAAATAATACCCTTCCAAATAGGTTCTTACTTTGTTTGTCATTCTTTTTTCAGTACCACGTTATCCTAATTTCTGATTACTTTTTAAAGCCCATCCTTGAGCCAAATAATATAAGTTTTCAGAATCTAAATTATCATAGTTTAATTTTTTTTTATTTGTAAAAATATTGATTAGATTAATTGAATTATATAATATAAAAAGAAAATTATATACTATTTATACCGAATTTATTTTGATTAAAAGAATAATTTACACCTGTTTTTAAAATAATAAATATAATAAAGAATTTTAGAAATTTATTTTATTTGATATATTTATAATAAATAGATTTCTTACTGTTTTCTGCCAAGATTGGTATAGTCCAGAGGTTTTTTGGTTGTGTGTAAACTATCACACCAGTAACAGGTTTATGAATAATACCATCTGTTAATTTTGTAATTTCTGCTGGTGAAAATAAATTCCATTCGCTAATATGTGACAACATTTGTCCTATTATAAAACCTGCTAAATCTCCTGATATTGGCTATTTCCAATAAAAAAATGATGTAATTTGTTTAATAGTTTTTACAGCTACATAATCACGACATAGTTCAAGGTTTGCAACTAAAGTACTACTAAGATCTTGAATTGCTTCTTGAATTTTTTCACCAGAATCAAGATTATATCCTATTCTTATATATTGAGCTATTGAATGAGAAATCTATTTAAAAGTTATTTATAGTAATAAATACTAATTACAAATTAAAATTTTATTTAAAAAATAAATTATAGTTAAAGGGAGATATCTAGAGTATTTACTGCAGCATGATAAGAATCTACTAATGATTTGGCTTCTCCAGGTTCAAAAAAGTACCAATCCTGTACCTCAATATTATACCATTGATACCAATTGGCAACTATTGCCATTATTTCTGAATTATGATAATAGGCTCCATTATCTGAAAATATTTTTATCCAATTAGGTTTTGGATTAAGCATTTCAAATACTGAATCAAATGATGATGCCATAAACCAAGCATCTTGCTTGGTATCGAGAAACCAATAATCAAAAGCTTGAACTTCAATCTGAATATTATTAGTTTTATTAAAAACTAAAATGGTATATAGAGTCTATCCCTGCTTGCCAAAAAATTGTGCTTTAGTTTCTTGTACTCTTTTTTCTAAAATTTTCATTTTGTAATCTGCTAATATTAATACATCCTGGTTATCCAAATTTTTTAGTTCTGCTTGAAATTGTGCATTTAAATAGGTTTTATGTGCTTGATGGGCCCAAAAATAAATAAGCTTTTCTTTATATTTTGAAAGCAATTCATAATCCTTTAAGGGTAATAATATTTCTAATTTATTAAACAGAAGGAAAAAATTATTATATAATATGCATCAATAATTATAATTATCATTACATTCACCAAAGACATATAATAAACAATGGTTTATACATAGTACATGATCTGTTATACCATTTTGATTTATTATAAGTTCATTTTCGAAATTTCTTCTTAAATAATTACGTAAATCTTCTATTTGACTTGTAAATTTATGCTAAAAAATTATAAATGCAAATTAAAACTAATTTTTTTATAAGTTATAAATTTAAAATTACCTACTTGAAGTTCTTGTTCACTAATATTAACTTTAATCAAAGCTAATAATTTATCAAATATTATATATCTATAATCGTTATATATATTACAAAGATCACCAAGATCTTTTCGATAAACATATCTTCTACTTTCTAATCGAGCCATAAAAGCTGTTTGTTTAATTTCATCAGGATATATTCCTTCAAATTTGTTTTACAAGGTCTTTTTTGTATTCTTTAAATACAATAATGATAATCCGCTTTTTTTATCAACTGCATATGAACTCATACTAACATTATTTTTATCATCAAAAAAGGCTAAAAATTGTGCATCTTGAGTGTCAGTTATACATGATCTTGTAATTTTAGGTTTTTTAATTGCTGAACATCTTGGACCATTTACGTATGCATAAAATTTAGCAGCATAATAAAGGTTATGTGATATTTTTAATTTTTTTTGTAGTTTTTTTGAACCAAATTCATCTACTATAATAGATAAAATACGTTGCATTCCATTATTATCACATATATTTCTTGTTAAGGCTTGATTAAAACTTTTTCAAAATTTTGTTTCATCTACAGATTCATTTCCATCTACTAATTCATTTTTATCTACCAATGGAGTTTTTAATAATCCCATATTATACAAATTTAAAAGAGTTTCTTTATCACTTGATGGATCTTTTGCACAAGTCCAAAATTCAATCTACAGTATTAAATATAATAAATAATATAAATGAAATTATTTGTCTTATAAGTTTAAATATACTAACCTCAGTTTCATTTTTAGAAAATGGTGTTATATTACTACAACTAATAGCATGCATCATAGCTCGCCAAGCAAATAATTCATGCCCACTAAATATATAATCAGATAGATAAATATGTGCTAATGCATCTAGAAATTGAATTATATTACTTTTTTGTAATTTCCATTTAATAAAAAATTTTTTTCAATTTAGATTAGTTGTAGCAATTTTTTAGTGCAAATAGTAATTAAAAATTTGATCCATAATTTCACTTTTTTTCCATTTTGTAACTGAACATTGAGGTGGCGAATTAGTTGCAATATGTTTGTTTTCTAATACAGATTTTACTTTGAGATCATTAAGGCCAAATAATGAAAAACCATCTTGATCTTGAAGAAATGTCATTTTTATTCAAACTTTTGTAAGTGTGCTATCACTATGAGTAAATAAAATTTTTTCATAGTAATAAACCGTTATTATACAACTATTTTCATTAATTGATTATACAATTCGTTTTTGTTCCCCACCAATTTTCTGTATAAAAATTGAAAGATATCTGAGACCAGCAAAATTTAAATTGATATTATCAGAAATACCTAGTTTTGCAATTAAATTACTCTTATTATTGTAATTAATATAAAATAGAATATAAGAAATATTTTCTAACAATTGAGATACAATATAATTGTCATCAAAACCCAAAACTGATGGACCTTAATAATGAGTTTTGTTATCAAAGAGTTTTTGATAAGTTTCATTAATAGCAGTAGACGCAGTATTATAAATTTGATTTTGTGTATCAGACTTGCATAAAAAACCTGGTCTTGTTCCATATTGGTCTTTTTGAACAATTCTTACTATAAATTCTTGATCATTTAAAAAAATGCGAATTTGACAATTTATACAGAAAGGAATACAAGCATTTTGTGTTAGTCTTTTTGAAAAATATCACCAATTCATACAAAATAGACCATAATATAATTCTTCCAATATATAACCAGGTATTAATAATTGTAATAAAGATTTTTTGCTAGCTATCTTAAAAATTATAACAGCGATAAGACTACTGTTAATTTTTGTTTTAAAGAAAAGTATAAGCTTTTTATCACTTTTTATTTGCTCTATATAAGCTCAATTAATGATTTACCATCTTTATATCTATAATGTATTAAAAATTTTATATTATACTAAATATTGGCTCAATTCAGTAGTTCATTATTATGCATTGCAACTATGTATATACATATTAGAACCTTTAATAGTTTACCATTTTTATATCTATAACACGTTAGAAATTTTATATTCATGCTAAATATCAGCTCAATTTAGTAGTTCATTATCATGCATTGCAACTATTTAATAATTTAATATTTTTATATTTATGAAGTGTTATATTCATACTAATAACGATAAGTGAATACATATTACATAAAAAGTTACCAGTTATAGCCTGGTATGTAGAATATAATTTTTGTAGTATATCTATTGTGTCATATTTCGTAATATATGCCTTAAAATATACAAGTGAAATAAAATGATATTATAGTTTTTAGTAATAAATTCTAATACAAAATTCACTGATTGCAGTAATTTACTTTTCATTAAATTTATCTTGTGCAAAGGCATATCTCTAGACTAAACTCTAGAAGAATCATAATTTATGTAATTAAAATATCAGTAACGATAATATTTTATAGTACATATTAATATGTTATTTCTCTATAATTGTATTTTATTGCATTTTTAAAATCTTAAATACTACTGTGATTACAATCTATGTCAAATACAGTGAAACGTCTATAAGTGCATCTTATAAGTGCATACCCTCTCTAAATGCATGTTCACCTTCGGGCCCAAATATATATATGACCTCCATAAATACACTTTTTCTTATTGTTCTCTAAGTGTATGTCATTAAAGTTTAGTTTCAAGAGCATGCATTTATAGAGGTTTCAAAAAAAAAGCTGCAGCTTTGCTATGTGTTATAACTATAAATGCCACCGAAATTGATTTTTAAAAAAGGCCTATTTCGTCTCTATTAGAGCAAATTAAAATTTTTTATAAGAAAGAGCAAATAAAATTTATATATTTA